CTCAAGAACCACTGGGCCAGAAAAGCTGAAACTTAGGTGGAAGCATCCTGGGGTAGTGCAGATTCTAAATTATTCAAATCATGACCCCCGGGGGTAGGGTGGGGCCACAATGGGGAATTAAAGTTTTACATAAAGATATATGGGGAAAATCTTTGAAAATCTTCTTCTCAAGAACCACTGGGCCAGAAAAGCTGAAACTTATATGGAAGCATCCTGGGGTAGTGTAGATTCTAAATTGTTCAAATCATGATCCCCGGGGGTTGGGCGGGGCCACAATGGGGAATCAAAGTTTTACATAGAAATATATAGGAAAAATCTTATTCTCAAGAACCACTGGGCCAGAAAAGCAGAAAATTATGTGGAAGCATCCTGAGATAGTGTAGATTCTAAATTGTTCTAATCATGACCCCTGGGGGTAGGACAGGGCCACAATGGGGAATCAATTTTTACAATGTTGAATCAAAGCATCCTATGGTAGTGTAGATTTCAAATTGTTTAAATTATGATCAGGTGGGTAGGTTGGGGTCACAATTTGTATTACAAGGGGGAAATCTGGTAATTAAAGAACAGAATGTTCAAAGCTTCTCAGGTGAGCAATGTGGCCCATGGGCCTCTTGTTGTCATTGTTCTATTTATTACTTTTGTCAAGTTTTATATCCCAACTGCTACTTTTCTCTTTCTTTATTATAAGTACAAACCAGTAGAGCTTCAGTCTCGACAGAGACTAATTCTGGTTTGGAACACATTGGTACTTTTCATATGATTAAAAGAAATTGCTAGGTGTTCCGAATAGGTGTGTATCAGTTCATCAAACTGACACACCTTTCTGCAGGGAATCAGTCTTTTTGTGGTGATTTTTAGGAAATCAGTAAAATATATTGATTTACTCTTCTATAGTGAAAAATCAGTAGAGGTATAATAAAACCTTTTAAAATAGTGATTATACTGGTATGGTGTAATCAAAGAGCTCCCATGAGTAATCAGTATACAATCAACACGAGAAGTTATGTAAGGCAGGGTAGCATAACTTAAAATAATTTATTTGTGAGGGGTTACCAGTACATGCATGTATGTTTTCAATTTCATTTTCTAAAGGAATCAAAAAAGAGAAAACATTCCAGAGGGAAAACTAGAAAACAATTTAAGGCAGGTGTTGGTGAAGGTGGGAGGAAGAGATTGAGGATAGAATTGTTGTTGTTCCTTTCCTAGACAACGTTTGATTTGAAAAGACCTATTACTATCTTTCAACTAATAAAAACGTTAAGAACTCCAACAATATTTATTTTATAAAAATATATAACAAAAAAAGAGTGCAACCCTCACTAAAACAATGTATATACAAAGACAAGTCCTGAATAAAGGCACTATATATATATAATATATTTAATAACCTTAAATGTTATTTTGATTTTATATACAGCTTTGTAGAATAAAATACATGTAAATTCCAATTGATTTGAGTTAAATACGAGTACTAGTTAAATAAATGCTTCTAATCTACATGTATTTGATGTTTCTCTATAGTATAATTACACTAATGTAAGTTACTGAAGTAATGGAGGTAGATTATACATATTTGAGTAGATTAAATTAAATATCAAAATTCTGAACACCTATGGTATTCCACATGTGTTAAGCTTTCTGACTTATTCTATCATAGGCATAGTCTATGCATGAAACTGCTTTAAATGCTGCACTGCTGGTAAAATTTTACATAAACATTGTGTACAGATATACACTTTATGTACAAGAAATATAAAAGGTAGCTAAAAGCTTAAAAACACAAAAATAATAAATATCTAACAACAGCTGTTCATATTGAACAATCAATCCATACATATCCTGCATGAGCATCGATCTGGTCCCAAATGCATTTAACGAAAGACATGATACCCCACAGATAAAAATATAAGTTGTAATCAATACCTCAATCCATTCAAAAATATACCTTTATATAAAACACTAAATTTACTGACATATAGCAATCCCACAACAGTACACAAAAAGTACTGCATTTTAAAATTAATAAATTCACTGTACATTACATACTTGTATTTTCCTTTTTACAATCTCAGTATATATACTTGTATATAAAATCATGCATTTTTCTCGGACAATAAAAGCACTTCAAACAAATGTATGCAAAGAAAAAACAAGATGTGTTTGTGAAACACTGATGCCCCCGTATGGCAACATAGCGAAGGTTAAGCTTTCTCTAATGCTGATCAATTATGTTGGTATCTTAAAGCCATATATGGCGTAACTGATCAAAAAATATATTTTTGAAAAATACAAAATTAAGTAAAGAAATATAGTTAATACATTTAAATTAAAACTTTTCATACAATTCTGAACACGGAGAACACCTCGTTTCAACTAATAATACGATTTTGTCTTCTCTGTAATGTGTTATTTAAATCTTTTGTATTTTCTTCCGAGTCGGAGAAAATTCCGAGAATCCAAATTAAATTGTGATATCTTTATATCGCAGTTGACTTAGATTTTGTAATTTATGGAAAAGTTCTATCTTTATATAAAGTAATGATACAAATAATAAGTTATTATAATTTTAGTCTAATAATTTTCATTATACATACGCCATATATGGCTTTAAGTAAGGCCTTTTCAGAAGAAATACATATGTGAAATAAAAAACCCTAGCACCACCTGTTGAAGGGTTATGACCAAGGTAAACATTTTTAAATGAAGGACAAACTCTGGGTCAAGGTCAAAGGGTCAATGTTGTTGGTTTCTAATAAAAGGCCTTGTCTCAAAGATTACATATGGTAAGTATGAAAGCGCTGGTCCTTACTGTTCAATAGATATGGCCAAGGTGAAAATTTGTTAAAAGAAGGTCAAACTCAAGGTCAAGGTCAAAGTTGATGATATCCAATTAAAGGTCTTCTCACAAGGATTACATATTTGAAGTATGAAAGCCCTAGCCCTTACCGTTCAAGGTTATGACCAAGGTTAAATTTTTTTCGTAAGTACGGAAATCTCCAAGGTCAAGGTAAAAATTCTTGGTTTTAAATGAAAGGTCTTGCCAAAAAGAAGTGATATTTGAAAAATGAAATTCCTTGTAACTACCATTTAAAACTTATGACCAAAGTAAAAATTTGCAAGTGGGTCTAACTCCAAGGTCAAAAGGTCAAGGTTTTTGGTATCAAATGAGAGGTCTTGTCACAAAAATTGAATATATGAAGTATGAAAGCCCTAGTACTAACCCTTCAAAAATTATGGTCAAGGTTGTATTTTTAAAGTAAGTCAAACTTCAAGGTCAAAGGGTCAAGGTTCTTGGTATCAAATGAAGCGTCTTCTCACAAGAATTACATATGTGAAGTATGAAAGCCCTAGCACTTTTAGTTTAAAAGTTATAGCCAAGGTTTAAGTTTTTTTGTAAGTACAGAAATCTCTAAGGTCAAGGTCAAAAGTCAAGGTTGTTGAGATCCAATGAAAGGTCTTCTCACAAACAATATACATGTCAAGTATAAATGTCCTGGTATCTACTGTTCGAAAGATATGGCCAAAGTAAAAGTTCAAAATTTTTGTGTAAAAGTGGGTCAAACTCCAAGGTCAAGGTCAAAAGGTCAAATTTGGTGGTACCCAAATAAAGGTCTTGTCACAAGGAATACACATGTGAAATATGAATGCCATAGCTCCACTAGATCAGAAGTTATGGGCAAGGTTAAAGTTTTTGCAGACAAACAGAGAGACAGACGGACACGACAAAAACTATATACCCCCGAAACTTCGTTTACGGGGGCATAAAAACATCTGTCATAAAATAAAAATCATAAAACCAGATGATGTTTTTGTGAAACACTGATGCCCCTGTATGGCAGCTCTTGGCAAAGGTTCAAGATTCTCAAATGCAAGGAAAACTCAAAAGTACAAGCTAGGTCAAGAGATAAAAAAAATCCCCCTCCCCCAAATATGACAGAAGGAAAACACCTGTGAAATAAAAAAAAGAACTAGCATCAAGGCATTCAAGGGTCTAGGTCAAAGTTTATATGCCCCAAAACAATTGATTACATGCATGGGCATAAAAAGATACAGAGTGAAAGAAAAAGGTTGAATTTTGTATTATTGATATGTATGTGATATCATTTTATGTTTTATTGATGGAAGACCCATTGGTCAAGAAATCTTTTAATGAGGTGGCTTGCTTAGTGTTGTTTACCAATTGTTAATGACCGTGGTATAATTTATAAAGTATAAAGTTAACATTCAAAGGATGCATATAAGCATATAACATAAATGCACTGCTTTTGTACTAATAATAAAATAGGTAGCTTATGTAGCACGAGTATTTGCTTTTTTATAAAAATCTGCTTCATTGTAAAGTAAAACAGAATACGTAAATAAAATATCTTTTCCCAAACTTCAATTTGTTGAAAGTTTGGTCTACAATTTCCTCTCTCACATGTACATATATGATATAGGAAAGTTTTGCAATACTTTAGAGCATTCATGAATAAACTATAAGTATTATACATGTACTAGAAAAATTCGCAAGTTTTGAAATATAATTAGATTTACAGGTTGCAATTTGCATTTTAAGACTCCCTGAATACATGTACCTGTAGGAATGATTAATCATGTAAAGAAATACCATTATTGGAAAACCTGAAACATCTCGCAAGGACTTGAAGGTTATCAAGTTTAAATAATTTCATAACCAAATCCTTTATTGCACGCTAGATTAAAGATTTTGCAAGCTGCGTAGATATACAATGTATGCACATGTACTTGTATATACTTAATATTAGGACTTTTTCGGCTAAAGAATGTATTAAAAGTATAAATAAGAAAATTATACTTTGGTGTCCAATTAAGGCATAAACATTTTTTTTTCATAATTTTTACAACAATCCACTACAAAAATAAATTTAAATCTGAATAAAAATGCCTTCAATATAATACAGCCAGATTTAATACCCAAACATTGACTTCAAAATTAGAAGTAAAGTATGGAGATCGAACTATAACCCAACAACATTTCATCTACAATTTGTCTTAACGGCCACCGCTTTCCCAATCAGGAACCCAGGATCAATGTTCCCCTGTTTCGTTGGAGGACGGACAAGTTTGGCATATGAAAAGTTATCTGTTTCCATCCAGCAGTGAGTGACTTCTTTTACTTTCTCGCGAGCCTTGCGATGTTGCTGTAGCTGTGTTGTGATGTCAGAGAGACGTACTCGAGGAATTTGGAGGACAGCCGCCGAGAACCCTGTACATACTGACCACATACCAGTAGATAACAGCTGATCTGTGGACCGTCCCTGCCAAACATTCCAGGCAAAATTACCTAAAAAGGAATATATATTTTTTCCAAATATTTTGTCTTTAAGTTTCATATACAAAATGTATGTATGTAAAAATGTTTAAAAATTCATTTATGAAAAAATCACACAGATGCTACAGATTGTGACAAGGAATATGCAAAATGTGAAAACCTTAATTAGCACCAACCATTTCGATTATAGTCAAGATTACAGTTTTTCAAAAGTAGGTCTAACACCCATAAGATGATGATGTCAATATAGTGTCAATTTACACAAGAAGTACATGTGAAATATGCATGAATCTAGCCCTGGCAAAAACCTTCGTCAGAAATTATATGGCCAAGGTTAAAACTTGGTCAAATGTCAAGGTCATATGGTAAAAAATATTGTAAAGACTTGTGGCATGAAATGTAATAATAAATACATATGTGTGTGTTAGGGCTGTCACGGTTCCAAAATTTTTCATTCGGTTTCGGGTTTCTCGGGTCGGGTAGGTAGTGGAAGAAAAGCTCATGATTTGTATTATTTTCAACAATAAAAAGAATATTCTCATTTAATCTTAGAAATTGCAACATTATAACTAGTTTAAAGTAGCCTCCTGACTAGACAACAACTGTACCAAATTATTTTTAAATCATCTTTCAGGGTTTCAGATTGAAATAAGTAACTACAGGACATCTGGCATATTTACCAGAAAAGTTATAGGCCATTCTGTCCTAAACTTCCTAAAATTATAGGCCAATAGAAAAGTGAAACTAACTTTTTACAAAATAGTCATTTTATTACATAAAATATTCAAACTTGTATACAGTATATGGCCAAGGTTAAAACTTGGACAAAAATGCTGTGTTGTCTTGTTTATTTGGTGATTCAGATATCCGGATGCTTCACATATCCGGAAAAAATATTGTAATAAATGAGGGTCCACTGTATTAATTTTCCTTTTAATAAGGTGGAAATACTATTTTGTTTCTTTTAAACAAAATTAATATATTGAAACAGAATGGTAATTGTTTTTTTTTTTTTAATTCCATTCAATGGGTATTTAACTTATGTGTGTGTGAAACAATTTTTAAAAATAGTAATCCAAAAATTAGCTATCTCTGATGATATTCAATGTATAATTACGTTTAAAGATTACCTAGACTATTTTTTTTTCCCTTAGTAAAACCTTGCAACATTGTCCGTTTCCTGCTAAGTTATTCAATCATGGCGGTAAAAATAACAACATGGCATGGATTTCTTCGATGTTTTAAACATTCATCACTACTTTATGCTTTTGCAGTTGGGTTTGGAAATAAAATTATAGAGTATTTTGTCAAGATCTATTTATACCAAAATGTCATTGGCTGATTGAATCAGCAGTTGCAGAAAGTAGAGAAAAACAATCTGATCTGAATGGAGGAAAAATTATATGACTGGCCTTTACATACAGAAGATAATCGGCCATTGTGTCTGTTCAATGTCAAACTTTTAGGCCAACATGGCAGGTAAACTTTTATTGGCAAATGGCCGACGCCAATCTGAAACCCTGCCTTTTAATGACAATTTACTAACAAAACTCTCGTTTTTGACGCCATTTTATAGTAAAATCTAATTATACAAATCGGAACCGAACCGAATTCCAGAAAAACGGAACCGTACCCGACCCGAATTAATTGTTCAAATTTCGGTACCCGTGACAGCCCTAGTGTGTGTGAAATATTAAAGCTAGCTGATCTTTAATAAATTTGAAGTTATGACAGGCTTAAGTTTTTTAAAAGTAATGTATGTCAAACACCAAGGTATTAGATCAGCTACTATTGCTAAAATAAAAGTTTAATTAGTACAATTTTTTTCAAAGTAAATCAAATTTCAAGGTCAAAGGTCAATGAAATTAGGTCAAATGTGTTGGTATCCAATGAAATACTAGGGGATGTAGTTAAAGAATGAGGGTATACATGGTGAGGACAACTCCCCACTCTGAGACAATACATTTCTCAAGTTTTAAAATTAATACAAAAGTCCTATTTTTCAGAACTAATTGTCAGTTAGTACATACAACATATTTGATTAATTTATTTAAGCTTCAAGCTGACTCTGATCAATACCTAAACATACTGCACCAATGGAGAAAGACAATGTGTTGAAGAACCGCTTGTCCTTTTCAGCTTTGGCTTCAACAGCCTTGACCACAGGTGACATAAGAACTTCACAGCCTTGTAGCATATCCTGAACCTGTCTGGACTGCATTACCAAAGCCATCATATCCTCGTCCCATAAAGCCACAGGCTGGTGACCATTTTCCGACCCCCTTCTTTGATTATCACAGATTTCGGAAGCTTCCCTTTGTAAAAGACTAACAATACCACATATTTTATTTAATCGTAGCACTAAACTGTTCAGACTGGTCTTAAATCTACATGGCACTGTCACTGAGGTTTCCAAGGCAACCTCACAGACTTGACAGGACAATTTAATGTAGACCATCTCTGATGTTATTGTCAGTAGTTGCCGGAGGAATAACATCCAGTTTGATACATTGTGCGCTCTTGTTGCACCATAGTATTGGTCCATACACTGCAGAAAGCTGTGGGTGGCTGCCAGAAACTCATCATTTCTGTGGAGATTGATGTCCTTGACATTCTTCAGATAGGTGAGGAGATGACAAACGACCTTGACATCTTCAGCTACAGGGTCAACCAAAAAATGGAGACCTGTGTGAGAAACAATCATTTAGCATTATATATATATATTTCAAGTACATTTCTCCCGACAACAACATGCATTTTGTGGGACCCATGAACCAAACCATGCACTTACAACTGGTTGACTGACATTTCACACATCATATGTGTGAATATAAAGTATGTTGTTAAGTGAAAAAAAAAAGCTAGGTAGAAATGATTAACATTTATAGTGAAACATAGTGTGAGAATTTTAAATACCCCCACCCCCCAATTTGTTTTCACAACAACATTGTGTTTCCTGTAAATTATAAACTGGAGACATGAATTATTTTGATATAAAATATATTTATGACTCCTCATAAACTGACCATTTGTAGACATTACTGCTGTAAAGCCCCCGACAGGTGCATGGTGATATCGTCGTCCTATATTGATATTCAAGTCACCTCTGCATTTCCTCCAAAAACGTCAACAACGGGAGGTGTTATTTGTTAAGAAAAATCAATATTTCAAATATTAAATTTTTATCATAAGAAGTTTTTTTTAGTGTTAAATGCGACCAAAAATTAGATTCCAACGGATGTATTTTACATTTTTTTAAATTTTAAACAAAATTTTAAATAAAACTACAAAGATGAAAAGAAGAAGAAATATAGATAATTATTTCTCCCTCTAATTTCACTCAATTTCTCATCAGGTAAATTAGGAATATGGTATTGAGGATGAAATATTAAAAAAAAATGTTTGTTTTTTTCATCGGTTATCTAAAGTTGCATTTAAATTCTGTTAATTACCATTAATTTTCACCTATTAATAACGACTGTCTCGGTCAACAAGAGTTTATCTTGAAAAAATATCAGTGTACCTCACTTGTAGGAGACGACGGCACTGCAGCAACGATTTCAGATGTCACCGCCGCGAAGACCCGCCCCTTTATTTTGTTATGAAAATGTTTTCACGTGTTTCCTAATGTGACGATGAAAACTGCGCTCTACGAGTGGTTCGTTATATCCATTTACGTGTTGTATAAATTGACAGAACAAACTTTGAAGTTTTCTGAACACGTTCTCCACATAGCATATGGAAATAAACAGATAGAAGAAATGGAATTGGCGAAAATTGCCAAAAATCTCGTCAAGTGTGTAACTTCCGGAGAGGTGAGTTGTTTTGTGTCCAAAGTGTTGTGCACTGTCAATGTCACGCCGAATATTTTACAGAATTTTCAATCGATGGCTGTAATATTGCAAAAAATATAAGAAAGAAAAGGAACCAATTTTTTTGGGGTGGTGTCAAGCAAGAATTAATTCTTTGACAAACAAACCGAATCAAGGTCACAGATGATATATTCTGATATTATCAGGATTATCAGATTATAGAGGCCGGGGACTCAAATATAAAGTAACTATGGATCGATGTTATATTTATATAATAGTGTTGCATTATGCATGTACTATGCCTAAATTGTAGGCTGGGTTTGACACATGGTGCACGAGCCGGAGGCGAGTGCACTATGTGTCAAACCCTGCCTACTATTTAGGCATAGTACATGCATAATGCAACACTATTGTTATTATTATGCTGACTGTTGTAATTATTTATGCGGCAATCTATTTGACTTTTTCCTGAAAATATCGGTGCTTAAACAGCGCACTTGCAAGAACTCATTCAAAATATTCATGCTAAAATTGTTTGCATGCTTAGTTATTTTGGTTACTAGTATTTTCTCTAAATAGGTCGGGATTTTCTGTCCAAAAGCAACACATCTTTATTTTCTGTTATGTTAGTAAGCCTTATTTGTTTGCAGACGTCGATTCTCATTGATAATTTTCTTTCACATCCTTCAATCAAGCGTCATATAAAAAAGCGTTTTAATGACCCTATAAAATCAGTTCATCTAACGATCTGTATGTAATTAGTTTGAAAGTTTGTTGTACACATTAATCTAAAGTTCCTTAGAATAATATAACTGTTTTCAAATAATATTTGTCTATTTTCTCCTTCTTGTGTCAATTGTATAAATTAAGTTTATATATTTAATAAAATTACATCAATCAGTGATCGTCTCTATGGCGTAATCGATAAGGCATCGGACTGTCAATCTCATGGTCGTGAGTTCGATAGGAATGTGCATGGAAGAATTTTATTCAGAAAATAAAGCCGTGCACTATTTCGGCATAGTATGTTTACGCTATATAAATCCTTAGACCACTATGCGAGAATAGTAGGGTATGGGTTATATAGAGACAAACTGACAGGAAGCATAATAATAGCAAATAATGTGTTTTCTCCACACTATACCCTCTTGGATCCTGGTCCATGAATGGCAATAACTTATGTTTTTTAATTCTCTTATGGGACAGTTATAATTCTTGCTTTAAAACAGGCCTACATGAGTGTTTGTATTGTAGAGGAGTGGGTGATGTAGCATTCTCTTGAATTAAGGTCAAGATCTAGTAAATGAAAGGTGCCTACAGATTTATCAAACTTTATGAATAAATTCCTTCATTGATGCTTTACAACTTTAGCTTGGTCAAATAAGGTGTTTCGGGGCATATATAATTTGTAGGTTAACAAGATGAAAATATGTATTTTAAACTGTCACTTAATTTCAATGAAAAATTAAGAAAATCAGTCATGAATACGGGAGTTTTTTTAGTATTCGGCAAAGGAACTGTATCCAGATTGCCTACAATCTGTCGGAAAACGGTAATTAGTATGTTCATGGCCTCTTCTTTAAAACAATATCAAATTTATTATAGGTATCCGGTTTACTTTTCATATGATTTCAAATTGAATGACATGAAAATACATGTACCCTATTTTCTACATAATTCTGCTAAAGCCATAAAGTACGGGAAAAAGAAAGTTGAAATTGATTATGACGTCATAATGGATCTAGCACCAAAAAATTAGTCTCAAGTTATTTACTAGATCTTGACCTTAACTGTTACACTGAAGGTGTGTGATAAATGCAATACAATACAGTATAGTGAATGCCCTTAGAATGAACTGACACCTACAGCAAAGTGATTCTCGTCTTCATTGCTTTGAAATATTATAAACTTAATTATTGGATGTAACAAATTTTTTAAATTACTTTTATAACAAAGAAATCAAAATCATCAATCCAGCTGGCAGGTTTTACTGTACTGCACTGTTTGTCTGTCATTGATAAATGTCAATATGAGGCACTGTTTTGGTATTTATTAGCTGCCAAAAAGTGATATCACCTATTCGAATTATATAATAGTGTTGCATTATGCATGTACTATGCCTAAATAGTAGGCAGGGTTTGACACACGGTGCACGAGCCGGAGGCGAGTGCACTATGTGTCAAACCCTGCCTACTATTTAGGCATAGTACATGCATAATGCAACACTATTGTTATTATTATGCTGACTGTTGTAATTATTTATGCGGCAATCTATTTGACTTTTTCCTGAAAATATCGGTGCTTAAACAGCGCACTTGCAAGAACTCATTCAAAATATTCATGCTAAAATTGTTTGCATGCTTAGTTATTTTGGTTACTAGTATTTTCTCTAAATAGGTCGGGATTTTCTGTCCAAAAGCAACACATCTTTATTTTCTGTTATGTTAGTAAGCCTTATTTGTTTGCAGACGTCGATTCTGTTGATAATTTTCTTTCACATCCTTCAATCAAGCGTCATATAAAAAAGCGTTTTAATGACCCTATAAAATCAGTTCATCTAACGATCTGTATGTAATTAGTTTGAAAGTTTGTTGTACACATTAATCTAAAGTTCCTTAGAATAATATAACTGTTTTCAAATAATATTTGTCTATTTTCTCCTTCTTGTGTCAATTGTATAAATTAAGTTTATATATTTAATAAAATTACATCAATCAGTGATCGTCTCTATGGCGTAATCGATAAGGCATCGGACTGTCAATCTCATGGTCGTGAGTTCGATCCCCGGAATGTGCATGGAAGAATTTTATTCAGAAAATAAAGCCGTGCACTATTTCGGCATAGTATGTTTACGCTATATAAATCCTTAGACCACTATGCGAGAATAGTAGGGTATGGGTTATATAGAGACAAACTGACAGGAAGCATAATAATAGGTGATATCACTTTTTGCCAGTAATTACCAAAACGGCACCTCATAAATGTCTCTTAAACAAATGCATGAAGATTTACTAAATTATATTCTAACAGTTCTTTAAACAATTTGTCTCTTCAGAGTATTGCGGTGGAATCCTTTTGGCAGAAGCAGCCGTGTGTGATTACGTTTTTGCGGCGGTTCGGATGACCTTTCTGTCGACTGAGTGCTAAGCAGCTCAGTCTCATCAAGCCACAGCTGGACGCCCACAATGTCCGCCTGGTCGGGGTCGGCCTGGAGGAAGTGGGGGTCGAGCAGTTCATCCAGGGAGGATTCTTCAAAGGAGGTCTGTACTATTTTGTTTCAGAAATATGTAGGTATAAGAATGAAATTCATTCAATGTGTAAGAGAATTTTTATTTTTACCTGTTTCTCAAATAAAATTGTTTGCATGTAAAAAAAAAATACTGTGACTAGAGGCATATGAAGTTACTTTTTTGAAAGGAAAATGAATTAATTAAAAGTATTACTATTCTGGACAGTAAGACACACTTAATTATAACGAAGTGCAAGGGATGGACGATTTTTTATTCTTTATAAATCTAATTTGTTATATCGATCCACAGATCAAAATATACTTTAAAGCCATGCGAGGAATGAAATTAATCAATTCGTTGTTTATATAGTGTCAATTTGTTATTACTGGGTATATAATATTATATTTGCTATAACCGTGCTTGATTTAGCCCTCAATATGCCTCACCGTATCTAGAATATAGTTCAATTTGACTGAACATTTTGTATGTTTACAAGTATCTTTTAAATAGAGAAAAATCAAAAGTCTCCATTTCCATATTACTAGGACAATATAGGATGGCAGCAAACAGTTAATTGAAATTATGTCACTCCCAGATCCCTCAAATCAATTGACATTGTATAATGAAGATAAAATGAAGTGGATTTTAAGGTAGATTAATTCATTATTGGTGCCCCATTGTTTGTGGAACACTTGATCTCTGTAAAAGGATTGAGAGATATTGTGTATCCTTTTGTCATCAGCAGATGCCAGTAAAAGTTACATGATGTTGAAACAAGTCAAAAGAAAATCTGAACATTAACTTTATAATTATCAGCACTTGTCAATACCATAATGCAGTTTTCACACCAGAGCATGACCATTTTTAACTGATTATTTGCTCAGCATATATAATAGTAAATTACAGGAAATCATTTTTCTGTTTCCAATTTTCAACTTGCAATCATATAGCTTTAATCAAATTAATGTTTGGTAAAAGCATAACAATGTATTTAATTATCAGAGTGTTTGCTTTTATTATTGTTTGCTGTCATGTTATGTTGTATTCATTTTCCAGGGGTGCAGGTCCTTAGGAATTGAAA